ACCATCTCAGCAAGTTTCCAAATCTTCACTGACTTCACACAGAGTTACAGCATACAGTGCAAGTTGCTTGTTTGGAAATGAAGCATAAGTGCTGTTCTGCAGGCTCATACAAAAATGCTAAAGCCCATCCAGTCTTAAACAGAATCACACTCACAGAAAGCTGCACCTTACTAAACTTAACCTCATGGACTAGGAAAAACTATGAGCCTTTGAATTCCAGTAACATGAACTCTTAAGCTGTCTCCCATAAACAAATACTCTGACTTGTTTTTAACTGCATTTTCTGGTTCCTCTTTGACAGGTTCCCATATTATACTTACATGGAGTCATACCATCTGTATGATAATAATGCATGTCCTCAAACTCAGAAGAGAGTCTCCAAAACACTTAGATCTAAATATAGATCTTCTTATCCTGCCCATAATTGCATTGAAACAGGACATACTTTTCTTTTCCCCTAAAACTTTACACATACCATAGATAGTTGTTCTGTACTACCACCACAGTACTCAAAACAAAACAGAAGCAGATCAATACCACCACTGTAAATCTCAGTTCTTTCCAGCTGAAAGGAGTCAGTCATATACTTGAACTACCAAGACACATGAGTCACCTAGATTTTGCAAGTTTTTTATCTCATGACCATGCCAATGATTAAAATGTCTGAAATAGGGGGTGGGGTTGACAGAAACAATTTATTCTTCCTCTCTGCAAAGCACAAACATCATTTTCTACCAATAAAAGTATTGCAAACTGTAACCTTGTTTACATTTCTTAAAGTGAGATAACACAATACTGAACATGCTGCTCTGAAAATAATTTTCATGCCAATTAAGTCACGGATATTTCCTAGGTAAGAGTTTTGTTTACAATGGGACCTGGGCCATTCTTCAGTCTTTGTGAAGCAGCAGTTGCATGACAGTTAATTTTAGGTCAGAATCAACAAACATTATTATTGAACTACCTAAAAGTGATTAGTTAGGTAAGACCTGGGACCTGAGGCCACCGAGCACCAGAGACCATCCACCTGTATTTGTATCTTAGACAAGAAGGTGTGGCTTGGCTACAGATCAGATTCCTGTCAAAGATGAGTTAACTTTCAGGACAAAAAGTGAATGTAAGTAAGAGCAAGATACTGGTTCATGAAGACCACTGCCTCCTTATTAACCTTCTATGAGACCTGCAGAAGAAGGTAGCAGAGGCAATGATGAAAATTAGTGTCATGACTTGCAGGTACTTCTGACAATGCCTCCACAACACCTTTGCTCTGCAGAAGAGCTGAGGTGAAGTCTAGTTAATACTGGCAGTAGCGATTTGGCTACAATGATGTTCAAAGCTGGAACAAATGACAGGGCTAGGGCTAAGATGGTAGTTCAGCCCAGAAACCATCAGCACATAATAAAACCAGCTATCAAAGCACTATGGGGCTACACTTACATCTAGAATTAGAAGAGGGTGTTGACCTAGAACAAAGTATAATACTGGATCTGGGTTTAGGGTTGGGACTCAGGCCAGCAAGTATTGATAAACTGCAGCGTAGAAAGTGCCTCCAGGTTCATATGAAAAGTGGTGTTGGCTTAAAACATCTGACTGAAGAGATCTGTAGGATAAGGAGTGAGATAACATTAAGATTAGGAGTGGAATTAGGGTTTGAGCATACCCTGGAAGAGATTGATAAACTGCATCATCTTGTTTCAGTATCAGGGAGGGCCCCACGCCACGATAAAGGTGCCACATGACAGGACTTCACACACCCTTAGCAAGCCCAACACTGCCCAGCATGCCAGGCCTTCTCTGTCTATATCCTCTGTTGACCAAGGCTTCCCAAGCTGCACATGCACATGTGCTGTCAACATGATGCATTCCTGATCCCTCAGGATTACTGTATATGTACACTTGTGTCACTGTGTACATGCACAGAGAACCTGGCACTCCCAAGATGTACAGATTTCCTGTATGATGTGTACACACAGGAGATCAGGCAGGGAAGAGGAAACAAACAAAGAAAAGCATCTATCTGAAAACGTCCCATCTTTACTGTCTCCATTTCTCCCTTCACTTGCAGTAGGGTTGCCATATCAGAAATATATCAAAGACTAAAAGCGTCTGGCAGCCAATGTCTCCTCTCTTCATAGATGTATTTTTAAAAACAGGAGGTCAGGTCTGGGCAGTAGGTTGGTCCTGCCAAGAAAACCAAAAGCTAAATCAGCCAAATATACCAAGAAGCAGCACAAAAGCTTGTCTGTTCTTCTCCAAATAGGAGCTTTTCCAGTGATGATCTTGGCAGTACCATTTAGCACTTACCCTTTTCCCAGTTCTCGGGAATAGGTGTCCACACCACATTGCTCAGCATTTTCCAGGTCAGGAGACGATTCAGGAATGACCATGTCTACTTCACAGCACAGAAAAACCTGACACAAATCTTACCTATCTCTGTTTTAATCACAAAATAGTCTCACCCACGTTAGTGATTAATGGTGAAAAATTCAGTCTTAGTGGCAGGCAGGCCTTGGACCAGACAATAACACTTTCTGCAGAAGCAAGAACCATATAATCACATTTCAAGGACAAAATCATGTCCAGACTGGAGACTACATAGTTTAAAACCTTAAAAATCAGTATTAGTAGCACACAGTCCATCTCTACAATTTTCCAGGCTTGTAATTTAGAGAATGCAGAGTAGGCAAGAACAACAGTTGCTCAATTCAATGAGCAAACCTGCTTCAGCATTCACTACAAACTGAGGAGGAAAAAGCTTCACAGTGAGTCTTGCCAAGAAGGAATTACAATAATTGAGCCTCATGGTCACAAGACCACACACTGCTGCTGTGAAACAGTCACTGGGTAAATAAGGGTGTATCTTGTAACATTTTAACACGGTTGGGGGAAAAGAAAAAGCCACATGCGAAAGATGGTCTTACCCCTAAAAAGATATGAATGCAAGCAAAAAGGATCTTGCAAATCCACACTCATGTCAAAAATGCGGCAGAACGATGCTGCTATTCTAGTGCTGTCAATGCAGTAGCGACACAGAGTAGGGAATAAAAGCAATTTACACAGTTATGCCTGCAGCACATAATTTAGGCACAAGCAACAACAGCAAGAAAAGAGAATTCATTTCGAAGGATGGAGGAGTAAAAGTTAGGATGATGTAAAAATGACAGCTGAACTTCGGTTCACTAAGAAGAAGTCACAAAAGCAGTACATGTCCAGAATGACAAAAAATCCTTAGCAAAACACGATGAAAAAATGTAAGATGCTGATTTTAAAACATACAAACAGGCAGGTATCTCAGACTAGCAGAGAAATTCACAAAGCCAAATGAAAAGGACCCCATTTGATGACCTTAACAGTTGAAACCTGACCTAAGATTTTTTTATCATGTTTGTATTTCAGGGATGTGTACCACAGGGATGTGTACCAGTGTACCTAAAGGAGCTCAGCAAAGTTTTTCAAACTTATCTTTTCTTGTTTGCAGAAATCAACAAAGAACTTGCAAAATAATCACTTCCACAAAGCCACTGCTCTCAGCTCTGCATGTACAAAGGTCTCATCTGCCTCTGCACTGAGTGAAACTTCCTCTTAACAGTCCAACTTTGATTGTCACACCAACCCACAGCATTTTACCAAACTGGGCTAGAAGAGGATGTATTCCATCAATCTTCACCATTTCTTCTACACTGTCTGGAGCATTTTGCATGGGGCTTAGCAGGGTGCTGCTGGCCCCTTCTAGAGAAGGTGACTGGGTGACAGGGAGTGGCAGGGGGAGGAGAGAGCAAAGCACCTGCAGGCAGCAAGGGCACAGACTCAGCAAGGCTGGGAGTGGCAGGGGCTTGAAGGGGAGAGCACTTCAGCCAGCCAGGTCCTCCCCATCACAGGGGAGTGAAAGGCCATTTTATTAATTTCTCCCTCCAACCTCTGCTTCTCTGAAGGAGGGAAAAAAACAAAGGCATAGAGTGTTTAGCATTATTTCTGATGCAAGGAGGATGCAAAAGCATCTTAAACAAAAGTTACTCCTTCTCCAGTCTCCTAAGAGCTCCACTCTTTACTGTCAACCCATCAGAACAGGAGGGTTTTAATGGGGTATTGTTTCAGTGTGCTTATGCATCCTCATGGACTCTCTGGGACATTCTTCTAGTTTCAGCTTCCACCACTACACTCTTAATTTCTGTGGCACACACTAAGCTTCTCGTTCTTAGATACGACTAGCATTTATCAAGAAGCACTATAAAGGGTTCAATCCCTTGGTACAAGTTAGCATAACATTTTCCTGTATTCAATTCTCAGATTATCTATGAGGTAAACCAGTTATACAATTTTTTTTCAAAATCCCTGCTTACTACTAACTTTGTCCATACTAAGAGCTCATTGGGCTCTAAAACTTGCACAGAAGACTACTCTGTAGAAAACAGATGGCTAATATTTTTAAATGATTATACACAGTAGACCAGATAACATTAAAGAACCTGCTGCAATTAAAATTCATAAGCTATATTTCCAAATCTCACAACTCAGGTAAAGAACTACAACCATAATGATTACCAATGAAATAATGTGCCCTGACTCACTCCATATAAATAGGCTATGCTTATAAAAGCACTCCTCTGCTTCTGCAGGGGAGGGTGGCAAGGGAAGAAACTGATAAGAAATGATTAAACTAATTATGTGCTAATGAAAAGGTGTATTAATTGAAACATACTATGAAGTATCCAAGTGTACAGAAAGAAATTCAACAGGTGTTTACACTGGAAGGCTGACTATCCAGTGCAGAGATGAAATCAGACTGTGATATTAATGGCACATCCAATGCTAAAGTTCATAATGGATTTTCTGTGGCTTACTGTCAGACATGAAGTACCACAAGTAAACCTTACAGAGGGACCAGGAAAATCAGAAAATGATGCAGCCAGTATCACACTGGACAATAACATGGAATACAGACTTGTTTTTTCTTATTGACAAAACCAGTGAACTATCATATAAACTGCCCATTACTGTACCTTCATGACATCTTTATAGGAATGAATGGCCTCAATTTCCTCTTTGTCGTCCTCATTGTCATCCTCCACTCCTTCATCCAGAGCATCATATCCTTCATCCCTACTCCCATCTGTTTCTGTAGTATTAGTCATGTAGTCAATAAGCTGCTCCAGTGGAGGACTTAATTCCCGCTCTTCATTGTCCTTCAAACCATAGTCAAGGGCTTTATATATAATAATCCCCAGTGATTCAATAACCTATAAAAGCAAAACAAAAAAAAAAAGAAATATTTATTAGTACCATTTACATGGACAAACAGGTCAGTCTATGAACACACTATTCTGGTGTTTACATATTAAACTCAGCAACTGAGAGGGCAATAAACATCAAAATCAAAGAAAAAAATTACCTAATAAAATTACTCTAATACCTACAGCAGCACTTCAGTAATATAGCACAGACCATGCAAGAGCAGGTCATACCACATACCTACCACTTTCTTTTTTTAATGTTTGAAACAAAAAGTCATAATTTAAAAACAAAGCAGGACCTTTTTAGACTATTTTCCCTTTTTTCTTCTAATATGACAAACCTCAAAGTAACATTACTCTACACTTTGTAGGACTATATTGCATGCAGAATATCTTTTTTTTGTGGGGTAGGTGGGAAGAAATTAAAAGAAAGAACAGCATGAGATGCCTCCCTCTTCCCACAACTTAATGACACTTGGAAACTGCCCTTCAGTTTCTGCATCTCTTCACTGACCTGAGAGGTGTCTGGACACAGCTGTGGCCATCCCAATATTAACTCGCTGAGCACTGGGACATCAGCCACAAGAACTCTTTTGCCTGTTGCACAACTGGTGGAGACATGTATATTCCACTGAAACTACCAACAACTGTATTCCATAGTAATGAGGTAGTACCTCAATTTTTCATTGAATCAAGGCTCCTTATTTGTGCTCTGTCAAGAGCAAAGCCAACCAATGACCTCTTACTCATAGTAAGCTAGCAAAAAATTGTCAGGAATATCCCAAAATGCTAAATGCACATATTTCTCTCTTAGCATTAATTATTTTCCTTATGAGCAATATTGAAGCTTCTAGAATTTTAAAGATGTAAAGAGATGGCATTTCAAACTGAGAAGTTTGAAAATTGGTATTAATGAAGAGGGAAGGGAAAATGGGATTGCAACAGTAAGCCACAAGAAGGTAATGTCACTGCTGGGAGATCCTTGTCTGACAACGGAAGTAGGACTGGAGTAATTGCATGTAAACTCTGATCTTCCTTGTGTGTTGTGATGGCTAGCATGTCACACAAATTAGCAGACTCCTATGTAGGAGTAGTTGGCACTACTAGTAGGGAGCAACTTTAATAACAGAAGCATTTCTAAACATACCAAACCTTGTCATCAAATGCCTTTTTCTCTCATCTGGCTTTCATCAGTACTATCCTGGTCAACATGCTTTTTACTGCAGATTCTGAAATTCTTTTGGGGTAAATAGGACAACACAAATGGATTCTTTAAATATTAAATTTTACACTAGCAGCTTACTTATTTCAGCAAGCAAAGTATTTTTGGTCTGAGAGGCGGCAGTTCAGCAAGGGATTTTTTCAGCTCAAAGAACAGTTTTTGACTTGGGAAATGCTAGTGAGACAGCAAAGTATACCAGGGAAGCGCCACTGCATTCTTGCTCAGTTCTCATACCCTTCCCCAGACTTCTGCCATGACCCACTTTGGAGACAGGACACTGCACCATACAGACCTTAAAAACAGCTGTAACAGCTCAAACATGTTTGCAGTTATCTGGCTCACTTTTTACGGAAGCTATTTTGTAATCACTGTCTTGTAAAACTTGCGTTGTTATAAAAATAATCTGAAAATGTGAAAGTTTCACAAAATAAAATCTATTCTACTGGCAGATGTGTACTCAGATGTATACAAGTACAGTCCCAATATACACCCCCTCAGCAACCAAAAGAAGAATACCAAATTAATTCCAATTTGAAGGACACCAAAATTAAAATGAAGTACAACTGAATAATCACTTTGATATTTTCAGCACCTGGGAGTAAGCACAATGTGAGTAATTTCTAACTTCAACAAAATATATATTTGAAATAGCTTAGCATACATGAGGAGGACTGAAATGTCCAAATTAGATGCAAAGAAAATTATGTCTGGTGCCATGCAGTGATGGCTGTTGAACATAGCTTCTGGATTTTGCTACCAACAGTTCAAAAAAATAGAAGGGGGGAGGTGGATAAAGAAAGTGCACTCTCTCTGCCTCCTTCTGTTTGGGAAGAGGATTAAGGCATTCAAAAGCACCGTGGCTAAAACTGGATGACAGCTGCTGCTTTCTTTGATGTATCAGCAGTGCTGCTTTTGCAGTTCAGTAATATGGTTTGTACATTTTTATGTACTATGAACAGATTTCATAATACATGCTAAACTCACATAATATAAAAGCCTGCAATGGCACCAATTCAGAGCTATAGTTCAGTCTCTCAGCTCCTTATTTAGGACATGTGATCAAAACCATATTTCCTCAATGTCTGTCAATATCACAGATTTTTCTTGCTGAAAGACAAAGCAGCAAACATATTAACTAAGTAACTTTGCTTTGACTTGCATTAAAACTGAAAATATCCAGCGCTTTCAGTAATACTGGTTTACCAAGGATCTTGTAAAACCACCCAATTGCCATATGAATATCAAGCAAAAGTCACAGAATTGTCAGTGCTTCTTCCCATGAACAAAACTACTAATGCAACTTTACATAAATAAAACTTTTACGTCTATATAACTAAAAGCATAATATACAAGTCAACTCATTGATGTTTAAAAACAAGTGCTGTCACTTTGTCTGTAATAGAAATCAAACACAAACAAAAAAAGGAAAAGCTTTTCACAGCTCAATGGATGAACTGATAAATAAGCAGGGTTTTTTGAGCTGCATAATCAAGGACACCACTTCCATTTTTTTTTTAGACCATCAATTATTTACAAAGAAATCACAGGTTCTAAACTGCACTGTTGGCTAATTTCACACAAAATAAAAACTTCTGGCACCTAACAAGTGAAAAGCACCAGCACAGTTTTCAATTATATGTGAAAACAGACCTATAGTAGAAAAAGAAAGAGTAAGAATGGACTTAGCAAAGCTTTTTTAAACCAGAGTTGTACACTGACATACCAAAACAACTGCATGATACTGAAATAAGCACTAATCATAAATTATGCTCCTCAGTTCAGGTGAAAAAAAAATAAAGCAAGATCTGCACCTTGAATTTTAGAACACATTTGTTCCTGACTGATCTAAATTTTGGCAAATGACCTGACCTTTGCAAATCCATCAGTGGCTAAATAAACTTAAAAAATAAACAAGGAAGTATTATTATGCTTTACACCTTCTCACCAAGTTCTTTTGAAAGTCATGGCTTCAGACCAAAAATAAACCCAACCAAACACACTAACATTTCCCACAGATTGAACTTGTACTTTGCCGTGCTGCAATCATTACTGAAAGGGGAATTTTGTCCCACTATGAGTATTTCTTCAGTTTCTACACCAGTCTGGACTTGTGTTATGCTGTTTTTTTATAATAAATAGTGATAAAGTTGCTGGAACACTTTGACTTCAAACATGATGTAAAAGAAATATCCTCCCGCTCCTTTTACACACGCAGCAAAAACAAAACCCAAATCATTCAGATTATTTTCATACACAAATACTGCCTGGAACTTTCCATTCCACATACCTTCCTCCAACACATTAAGGCATGCCTCCTGGAAAGGAGTTCATCAGGGTTTTAATCTTTTATATGGCCCGTGTTATGCTCTTCCATTGAACACCTCCAAGTTAATATTCTCAAAACCTCTTCAAATATGCTGCCTTTGTACAGGAACCAAACACGTTTGAATCTTGCAAAGGTGCAATTATTGTGAGTACTACACTTTGAGAAAAATCCTTTTTTCCCCTCAACATATGTGTCTCCCTGACTCTTGCTGAAGCATAGATGACAGTAGGCAGAATCCATATGCCATTTCCCCCCCTCACAGCACACACAACAGGGCTCTGTCTGAGCTTTCATCCCCTTCCTAGGCTTGCCTCAATTTTTAAACAAACCAACAAAGACTAAGGACAGGCTTGTACTTACAGCAGCAAAGGTGGGGTTTTTTCCGCTCAAATGCCTGTCCCTCCCTAAAATTTTCCCCTCCTCCAAAAGGCACTCGGGTTTTGTGTCCCTAAATTTGGATTAAAGATGCCATAAAACTCCAGTTACTAAGGTGAATCAAATAACTTTGAACTTTTCCACATGGACGTCAGATATGGCCAGCAGCCACAACAATATTTGCACTACTACTGCACTGTCTTTTATGAATTCCAATATTTTTTATTAAACATGTGTACTACAATTACTATTTTAAGTGTGCCCAGTTTTTACCAGCAGATCTCCAACACACTTTATGAAAGAGAATCACTCTGCCTCACAGTAAAAATGCTGAGAAGTCCAGGGCTGGTGTTAGCCTAGCCACTCCTTAGGGCAGAGCTCCTCTCCACCACCAACTCTGCCATCACCCCTGGTATTAGGCAGCACTTAGTCAATCTGCAAAGACTAACCTGTCCTACTGCTGACTTTAAATTAGCCTGTCAGGAGCTCCATGCTGTGCTTCTGGAATCATAACACGTGGCATAAACATATGCATAGACAGCCTTGAAGTCAAGTGTTATGTATCTTAAATCTTCTATGACACATAAGAAGACATACAAACACACAAATTTTTGTGATCAAATTCTGTAATATGGTCCAAAAGACTGGCATGTTAAAATGTTATGCAAACCCAACTTGTTCCTCTCTAGCTAGATGACAGAGGGAGAAAGCTTTTGCTCTCATCTCATTTCCATTTGTTAACAAAGTAATTTGTTCTTTCTTGGGTGTCCAGTTATGGAAGTGAAAAAGATCATGCTTTTAAGAAAGATGAACAAATAAAGGGGTTAGGATAACCCAGAGTACATTTTTTGGTTATTTACCTCATCCTGAGATGCCCTGCATAACTCTCAACAGCACCTCATGGAACAGCATGTCTAAATAGGACGTTTTGAGAGGTGTGTTGCTGTCAGCGCATACCTTGGCTATACTAATGTAGTTTTCACCACAGCATTCCCCAGTGGAAACAGTGTAGCATTACCCAGGTTTTAATGGCTGAGGACATGTCTAAATTTAAATATGACCTTCACTAAATTAGAGCAACTT